CACTAAAAATAGTCACTAAAGTCACTTTTTCACTACTAAAATAGATTGAAATTGAAAAATATCAACAAAATGTTTAAATTGGATTGGATTAAATTAGAGGAATTTATGAAATTTGATTTTAAGTTCCATGACATAAAAAGTTTATTTCAACATCAAACCGTATTTTAATTTCTAAGTAATCATATAAATAGTTTCTTATTTAGTATTTACAAGTCACTATTTGGTCACTATTTCCGTAATTTTAGTCACTAAAGTCACAACTATTATTTCGCATCAGCACTACCAGCCCTGAAATTGGTAAAAATCATTACAAAACAAATAGGTATTTAGAAATAATGTTCGCTGAAAATCATCAGCAAAATATACAAACTGCACTAATTTAAAAAAATAATAATTTCATATCAACAGATTTTAAACAACATAATGTTTTTGACTGGATTGTCTTATAGTACGTTCAGACTGCAGAGTTATAACATGTTATAGCACTATCTTGGTGGTGGTTTCTGTGTTGCAATTATTTGACAACCGTTATAACATGTTATAACTCTCCAGTCTGGATAGCGTTTTAAAAAGGCTACAGAGTTATAAAATGTTATAGCGTTCAAGATAGCGGTGGTTTCTGTGATGCATTTATTTGACAACCGTTATAACATGTTATAACTCTCCAGTCTGGATAGCGTTTTAATTGCTGGTCAGACTGGATAGTTATAACATGTTATAACGGTTGTCAAATAATTGCAACACATAATTCACCATCAAGATAGCGCTATAACATGTTATAACTCTGTAGTCTGAATGTACTATTATAGTACGTATAGAGTTATAAAATGTTATAGCGTTCAAGATAGCGGTGGTTTCTGTGTTGTGTTTTTAGTGACTTGGTCACTATTTTGAAGCCAGTCACTAAAAAGTCACTTTTTACACCCAAAAGTCACTAAAGTCACTATTTCACTAAAAATAGTCACTAAAGTCACTTTTTCACTACTAAAATAGATTGAAATTGAAAAATATCAACAAAATGTTTAAATTGAGTACTTGGCATTAAGAAAGTCTACAGTAGTTTTAACAAAATTTACATATCTGTTAAAAAATTGAAAAGTTTAACCACCCTGTTTTTTTCACCCTGACCATTGAACCACAAAACATTAAAAGACCAGGAAAACTATTGGGAAATGCCTTCAATTTCGATAAAAATCGGGAAAATATACCTCCTTTCTCAGAAAATAAATTGTAAATCTTGTATACTTTCCAAGGGTATTTGTCTGTGATAGATTTTCAAAAGTCTTTCATGATGATTACAAACTTTAAAAAATCCAAAGTAGATTTAAGAGAATTTTAATTTATTCTAGGCATGACACCAAGATATATTAGAGAAGAATACCAAAGTACAGACTGCGAAAGTCTTATGTAAAATTAAGTGCTCTGAGGGCCGATTTCTTCATCTCCGTTTAAATCTTATGCCATAACACATACGAGTCTCGCTTTTGATTGTTGTTTAAATTATTAAAGACGCAAAATTTTGGAAATAATTCCAATATATTTGAGAGTGCATTTTAACGAGAGTTCTGAGAAGAATTCTATGACGATTGCATGAGGATTCTAGGGCCAATTCTAATAAGAAATCTATATGAAATAATGAAAATCCCGTGAACTCCAAAAATGGTCTCTGCGGATAGTTCTAAAAGAATTCTGGGGTGATTTCTGAAGATATTTCCAAGAGAATTCTAAAGAGTTCGAAATAAATCCCGAGAAGAATTCTAATAGCATCGAATTTTGAGGGTTTAATCATAAAGGAGTTCTGAGTAGATTTTCAAAGTTATTCTGTGATGGATTTTTGTTTTGAGAATTCTAAGGACAATACGAATTGAATTTCCAATTGCATGCAGGGGAGAAGTCCAAGATTATTCTAAGCAGAAATTTTTGAAATTTCTGAGGTTAAGGAGAATTCTGATAAATTTAAAATGGATTTATGGAAGGAGCCTTCAGGAAGCTCCTAGAAGAATCAATAAAAAATCTTAAATAATCTACTCCAACTAATCATGTGTTATTATTTCATGCGTGCATTTAACGATTTACATAGTCGGAGATGCTTAAAGTGGAGATTTTATACGATAGATGAGGAAATTAAATCATAGAGTTGATAGTTCCGGATAGTACGGCAGTGTGAAAATTGTATATAGAGAGTAGAAAGCGAGCAAGGACAACTTTGAGGGAGGTACGAATCAGGTTTACGTCAGATGGAACATGAGTGTGAAACAATCGACAGAACTGTTTCCGCACATCGGAGGTACATGAGCAAATCGGCGATCATTCTTTTTGCCGGTGGCAGGGGGAAAGACCCCTCACCATCCATCATTAACGGATGAGCTTGGTAAAGGAGATGCTCTACCCGATTCGTACCTTCCACGAAATTGTCCTTTGTTCGCTTTCTACTTTCTATGTACAAATTTCACACTATAACGGTACTATCAACTCTTTACTTTCATCTTCTCATCTATTATATAAAATGTCCACTTTAATCCTAATATTTGATGTTAAGCAATTCCAACAACGAAAATAATCTATTTCCATCTATTTCTGAAGAAATTCTGTGAAAAGTTGTTAGTGAATTATCAAAGTTATCTACCTAGATATATCATAATTTTAAAGATTTCGAACGCAGAATCAAATTCAAGATCATAAAAAATGGAAATTACTATTTGTAACGTAAGCAAAAGTAAATTAAACAAATCACTTAAAATGCTCTTCACAGGAGATTCCTTTGTAGGATTGGATTAAATTAGAGGAATTTATGAAATTTGATTTTAAGTTCCATGACATAAAAAGTTTATTTCAACATCAAACCGTATTTTAATTTCTAAGTAACCATATAAATAGTTTCTTATTTAGTATTTACAAGTCACTATTTGGTCACTATTTCCGTAATTTTAGTCACTAAAGTCACAACTATTATATCGCATCAGCACTACCAGCCCTGAAATTGGCAAAAATCATTACAAAACAAATAGGTATTTAGAAATAATGTTCGCTGAAAATCATCAGCAAAATATACAAACTGCACTAATTTAAAAAAATAATAATTTCATATCAACAGATTTTAAACAACATAATGTTTTTGACTGGATTGTCTTAAACGCTGGCCAAACTGAGCAGTTATAACATGTTATAACGGTTGTCAAATAATTGCAACACAGAAACCACCATCAAGATAGCGCTAAAACATGTTATAACTCTGTAGTCTGAACGTACTATTATAGTACGTTCAGACTGCAGAGTTATAACATGTTATAGCACTATCTTGGTGGTGGTTTCTGTGTTGCAATTATTTGACAACCGTTATAACATGTTATAACTCTCCAGTCTGGATAGCGTTTTAAAAAGGCTACATAGTTATAAAATGTTATAGCGTTCAAGATAGCGGTGGTTTCTGTGATGCATTTATTTGACAACCGTTATAACATGTTATAACTCTCCAGTCTGGATAGCGTTTTAATTGCTGGTCAGACTGGATAGTTATAACATGTTATAACGGTTGTCAAATAGTTGCAACACATAATTCACCATCAAGATAGCGCTATAACATGTTATAACTCTGTAGTCTGAATGTACTATTATAGTACGTATACCCGAGCAAAGCTGAAGATCAAATTGAAATCAAAATTTGCTGTTGTGATGTAACTTATTTTGAATACTCCAGTTGATCTCAGTTTGGTTGACTTAACGGTTAACACAGCAAAAATGAGAGCAAAATTTTACACTGTTGAAGCAAACGGAAAACTAATCCTGCTTTCAATGAAATCAATTTGATTACTGATTTTGCATTCATAATGTTTAACTGAATACGGGCCTGGAGTAAATGGTTACCATTCATGTTTCTCAAGCTGAAATACTTCGGCTCCAATCTTACCCCGGGCAAGTCACGAATGACCTAAAATGTGTTAAACAAATCAAATAAACAATAATCAATAGTTCAACGACAGATAAATATTAATTAAATTTTAAACAAGAAGTAAACAGCAGAACTTCAAGTTAAGTTGCTTTCATATAAAAAGTCTTGACTGCATAATGAAAGCACAATATGATATCAGACTTATGTCGCAACATTTGAAATCAAAATGAGTTTTCATTATGATAGGAACTGCACACTTTAATATCGATTTGCTTTCATTTTGTTAACCGACTTTTCTCGGGTAGGCTACAGAGTTATAAAATGTTATAGCGTTCAAGATAGCGGTGGTTTCTGTGTTGCATTTATTTGACAACCGTTATAACATGTTATAACTGCTCAGTCTGGACAGCGCTTTATAATACGTTCACAATACAGAGTTATAACATTTTATAACGGTTGTCAAATAATTGCAACACAGAAACCACCATCAAGATAGCGCTATAACATGTTATAACTCTCTAGTCTGAACAAGGCAAAACAAAGTATTAGGGAGAAAATTAAAAAGAAAATACGATTACAGTAATGACTCGATTTTGTCAGCCCCTCCGCGTATCAGATTTTTATGTTTCAATAATTTTACTTAACCGTTATTCCAAATCGTTCTCATTCGTCTTCAAGATGTATATTTAAGCTATACTTTAGTGCAATAAGAGCTTAGAAAAAGCGCATGGGTTTAGTAGAACATTAGAAACGATTTTCAAAAGTGGGGCTGACATTATTGTATATCTAAAAAATCCTACCAATTTTCAAATTTCTATGGAAGACCTCGAACAAGCTCACTGTGATGCTTTCTGATTTTTCTTCTGATTATGCTTGGTATAGATGCGTTAGGAGGATCCTTGGGTGGATTTATTATCCATCCATTCCTGTCGAACGAGTGTGGTGATAACAGTAAAAATGGATTTTGTATTTATACTACAGTAAACGTGTGGTTGTGCTATCTTTACGACGTCCGGCATCATGGCACGGCAGCAGCCTACCAACGGAGAAGGAGAGTCTCTCGTCGCTCGCGCTCACGTCCCAAACACTCTATCTGGCAGCAGATTTCATTCATCGATTCGTTGTTGTACGACTCGGGAGTACCAATCGTGTTTCTGGTGATTTTTGATATAGTTTTTCTGTACATGTTTTATTTTTTGTGAGTTGAATTTCGCGTTCAATATATCGCTCGAACCGTTTTCCGGTACGTAAAAGAAACGATCCGTCGTATTTCGATCCGTCTCTGTGACATCCCACCTCTAGTGTTGACCCAAGCTGGATCCACCTAGTCAGTTCCTCCGATCGATTAATCGACCGTCAGTGTGACGATGGTTTCCATGTCGCGTTTTCACAAGGTGTGATACGTTTTTTGTTTCGTGTTATTTTTTCGTTTCTATCCGTTTTCGGTTGAGGTCGCCATTTGGAGTACACAGCAGGCAGGCGAAAAATCATTGTGTGCAGTATCTCTGTCGAGTTCGAGTCAGACATAAAGCGGCGTGTTCCGGTTTTCTCGTAGTCGATTCCCTGTGGGCAGCATTGTCGATTGCTCACCAAGTGAAAGTATGAATAAGTGAGTGTGGAGACCGCTTTGAAAAACGTGGTCCAACTTCGATCGAGTGTCGTCGTTTTGCGATTTAATTTCGGCCTTCAGACCCGTTAGATTATTTGGTTCTTCCATCGACCAGCTAATTGACATTCAAGGGTAAGTTACCATCAATCATCTACCTAGTTAGTCAAAGTTTGAAACCAACTACATCTACGACCAGCAAGAGAAATGCTTGTTGCATTATGTCTATCTCATGTTCATACATCAACTTCTGGTTGTATTTTCGCATCGTAGTTATGTTCCATATATGATAACAGGCCCCTCAATATAAATGGTTTGACCATGCATTATCCCATGATAACATATCTCGCAATTACCTTCCATAGCAGGCAAGGCAAAGAGATGATGTGAAGTTGCAAAGAACTCACACCACTAAATTGTACCAACATCTGATGGTATATGATGGATGATGTGTTTGTGATGATCAACATGTACCTATGTTAGTATTTTAATGATCCTTGTTGCCATATCGTCAGTCGGTAGATTGTTGACCTCATTGAAGCTTCAATCATGTTTTTTTTTTAAATATTTAAATTGTAGATACGTAGGACAAATTGATATGCCGGGTGTGGCAAACGCAATGAAAGTCAATATAAGAGGAGAAGATGCTGTGTCGTCAAGGGGTAAATGAAATCATTGATCGCTATTTTTTTGGAAGAAGATGCGCCATTGGTAGGTGCTGGTTTGGCACGTTTGGCATAATGGACACTACTTGCAGAGCTGTTACAACAGGCGCGGATTTCGCGATTTTTGTGGATTTGTCGCGGATTTGAACTTTCAGTCGCGAAAATCGCGGAAACATTAAATGATGCCGTGAAAATCGCGAAGGGACTGATGTGCTGTCACAAAAATTGTGGAATTCTTTGTAATCTTTCCGTCCCGGATTATTTTGCTGTCATACATTTTGTTGTTCATTTAGCTCTTAATTTTTTACCGGTTCAAACCAAACACCCTGCAAATAATCGAGAAATGATCTCAATTCCTGGGGTCTGTCCAATGTGAGACATTTTCATTTTTTTTTCATATTTCTAATATGAACATAATATTTTTCGTTATCAAATCATAAACGAATCGTATATATGCGAATATTTGCCATGTATACCGGATATTTTAGGTTCTTTAAATCGTCATGGAGTTCAGTTGATTTGTTCTACAATATTAACCAGGACTGCAATAATGTCTTAGACACTACGAAATATGTCCAAACAGATTCAAAGTGTCTATGTGAATCGTGTCCGAGCTATTGCTACGTATACAAGATGTTATAGGTTCTGAAATCATTCTGGAGATCAGATTATTTTTCTACTAGATCATCCAAGACTAATTCAAAGTCTGTAGTATCGAAATATGCTCAAACAAATTTGCAGTGTCTATGTGGATCATGCCAACCTATTTCCGTGTATGCCAAATGTTCTAGGATTTCCAAATCGATATTTCGATACTACCAATATTATCCCAGTCTGTGTTGATCTAGTAAAACAGATAATCTGAACTGCAGGACGATTTGGAGAACCTAGATCGTCTGGTATACGTGGAAATAATTAAACATTATCCATATAGACACTATGAATCTGTTTGGATATGTTTCGATACTACATACTTTATCCCAGTCATGGTTGATCTAGTAGAATAAATCATCTGAACTCCAGAACGATTTGGAGATCTTAAAATATCTGGAATACATGACAATAGCTCATACATGATCCACATAGACACTGTGCATCTGTCTGGAAATATTTCGATACTAAAGACATTCACCCCTATTCTGTATTTCGTTTCAAACGAAATTCTCATACAAAAAAATATTTTTTTTGTATGAGAATTTCGTTCGAAACGAAATACAGAATAGGGGTGATTGTCCCAATCTCAGTTGATCTAGTAGATCAAATTATTTGAAGAACCTTGAACATCTAGATTACTCGTAAATAGATCATGCATAATCCACATAGACACTTTGAATCTGATTGGATATTTTTCGATACTACAGACATTATTGCAGTCTTGGTTGATCTAGTAGAACAAATCAACTGATGTCCTGGATGATTTGGAAACCTATAATTTCCGGTATACATAGTACAGTACAGTTAAAAAGCAGTTATACGTCAAAAATAGACGTCACATTTAGTTTGACATTTAGTTGTCATAATTGCTGAGGGGCATTCGAATGGAATATTAAGTGATAATATAAATAAATTTGAAATTATTTTCATTTCACACTGAAATCAAGCCTTAAAAGCGTTATGAGCAAAATTATTGAACCTTTCTAAACTAGTAAGATGGAATGTTTCACAGCAATTTCATAACAATAACAAACTGTACACTGTATCAATTGTTTTAAGCGTTGATCAAACAATCCATTGAAGCTCCCCTCTGTGTTTTTTGACGTTTGACAAGCCAGCCCAGTTACACAGCAAAATAAAATGTAATATCGATCAATGTAATTCAAGCTGATGTATGAAATAATGATGTAATAGCAAAAAGCAGGTACAATATTACATCAATGGATGTAATTTTGTTCGCAAAATCGATGTACATCGTACAACGTTATATTACACAACCGATGGATTGACCTGGTTGCAGCAGTTTGGATGTAATATTCAACAACTTTGTTTTTCTGTGTAGCGAGTGGAATTCGCTAACTGGCCTGTGCTTTTAGCCCAGTTAGCGAACAAGTACTGTAATAAGTCGTGCATGATCCAATTATGATTTGATAACGAAAAAGTGCTAGAATAAAAAAAAATCATGAAAATGTCTCACTATTGGACAGACCCCAAGGAATATCCGTGTAAATACAGAACCGCGACGTGACCTACAAGTATGATTTATGAAACTCTGGTAATTTCTCGATTATGTGCAGGGTGTTTGGTCTGAATCGGTAAAAAATTGAGAAAACTAGAGCCAAATCAACTACAACATTTAGGACAGCAAAATACGTCAGGTTAATTTTCAAGAAAATTTGCATTTAAAATGAAAATGCACACATTTTAATAATGTTTCATCAAATCTAGGCCGGTATTAAAGAATCTCATAATGTAAGGGTGTTTTATTATGTTCACTAATTACTCAGAATGTATACTATATATAAATAACTGAAGATGTTATACATTGTTATTTTTAATTTTATTTTTTCAAAGGTTACAAACGATACTCCTTTAGCTCAGTCGGTAGAGGCGCAGCTGCAAAGCAAGTCCATGCTGGAGGCGACTGAGTTCGTTTCCCGTCCGGTCTATTTCGGGTTGGAACATTTCTCTACTTTCTTTGGCATAGGATGGTACAGGTATAGAAAGCTCTCAATTAAAATGTGAAAGTACTTCAAAGGACACTAAGTTGAGAGCTGGCAAAAATCTAATATACTATAAGCAATAAGCTTGAAATGCCATGTAATAGTTTACAAATGGTATTTTTAGGTAATGAAAACAGTTTTTTTTTTGTCGCGGATTAATATTTGCAGGGTGGCAAGTGAAGCAGGAAAACCAGGAAAACCGGGAAAAAGTCGGGAATTTATTTTCACCAGGAAAAACCGGGAAAAAACCAGGAATTACATAAGTCCACCAGGAAAATAATCTTGTTTGTATAATTTAAATAGGTTTTAAGTTTTATTCGAACTACATGCAAGTTCTACAAAATTCTGAAAAGTCTTACAAGTTTCAGGAAAATCCTGTGAACTACGACGGTCAGGAAATCTCTCCGAACCTTCAGAGAAGTTCTACAAATTTCAGAGAAGTCTTACGAACTTCAGGGAAGTCCTGTAATCTTTGGGGAATAACTACGAATTTTACAGAATTTTCTACAGATTTAATGTAACTTCTACGACATTTAGGCATTGCTTAAAACTTAAGGATAATCCTATGACACTCATGGATTTTTTCCGAGCTTCAGAGAAGTCTTCAATACTCTTGGTAAGTCCTCTGAACTTAACATAGTTCTCCAAGCTCAAAAAAGTTCCTAGTTCTTTCGAGAAGTCGATTGAACTACAGGTAGTCCTACGAAATTCATGGGAGCTCTCCAAACTTCAGGGAATTTCCAAGAAATTAAGGAAAGACCCACAAACTTTTGGAAAACCCTTCGATATTTAAAGCCTTCAGGGAAGCTCTTCTAAATTTAGGGTCCTCATATATTCAGTTAAGTCCTTCAAACTTCAGGGAAGTCCTCAGATCTTCGAGAAAGTTCTTCGAACTTGAAGGAAGTCTTACGATCTTCTGAGAATTTCTACGAACTTCGTGGTACTTCTACGGTATTTAAGAAATTCCTATGAATTTCAAAAAACTCTGAACTTCAGGGAAGTCCTAAGATCTTAAAAAAGTCCTTCGAACTTCGGGGAAGTCCCATGAAATTCAGGCAATACAAACTTCAATGAACCCTTTAGGAAAGACCTTAACGCTTCAGGGAAGTTCTACGAACTTTCGGGAGTTTCTATGAACTTCAGCAGTCAGTCTTTTTAATAATAAGAGTTATTAAACCAGCGTTGTTTATGAAATCTTTTAATCATATGATTTTGAAATCATGTTGTAATCAAAATTCCGCTAAATAAGATCCTTAATCGTTGACAATTTGCGGAAAATTTAAACAAACTGGAAATCTGTAAAATTGTTGGAAGCAAAGAGTCCTCATTCATATCACACTTCGCAATTTCACCTTGCGATAAACTTTTGCAAAAACATGAGTGAAAACGCTTTGCTATTATAATTTTAACACATAGAACGGAAATAGGCGCCATGATACGACAAAGTAGCGCGGCTCCATACTAGCTTCTTAACAGCAAACAATCAGATGAAGATTTCACGGGCATTCACAAGAACCTTAATACCTATTTTGGTTTGTGAAATTCCGCATTGCGCGAAGAATGATGGTACAAGGATTCACTTTATTTTTTTATTAACTATTGTTTTTTAAATACATGGTTTTTAATACCAGGAAATTTTAAATCATTGACCAGAAAACCCAGGAAAAAAACCAGGAATTTCAAAATGGAAATTCACTTGCCACCCTGTATTTGAAGTCACGAATTTCTTTTGAGAAATCGCGGATTTCGTGGATCAAATTTAGAAAATCTTGTAACAACCCTGTACTTGGCAGAATCGCTATGATTCCACATA